TGGCGGGCCGGGCTCAGGGCGCGCTCCCCGGCGGACAGGACATGCTGTTCCATGCCACACCGCAGGATCCCAAAATGGCTTCCCGGCCCCAACAAAGCCCGCAGGCCCCGACTGATCCGACCCAGCCTCCCAGAGCTCCCCGTGTCACTCAGAGGCAGAGTTTGAATTCACTGGACGCGGCCGCCTCAGCCAGCCCCCAGCTTTTAACCCGCTGGTTTCCCTGCGGAGAGGGCCCCCCTTCTGGAGAGCTTCCTCCGCAAACGCCGGCGTACGCGTCATTCGTGTTTATTTCAACTGTAAGCTCACTGGCAGATAACAAAAGGCATATTTTACTTAATTTCTCGCGTTCCTAAAACGCTTCACTTGCCCGATAAAACAACCTCAATATTAATTGTCTAACAAAATAAAATCCAACCCAACATCCTACTCTTTATAACTAACTCCTACACCTGAATGTCTAGTGTCCCCAACTCTTACAATCACACGAGTCGGTCACGAGACAGTCAAGTAGCATAAATTTAAGGATATATGTTATTAAATGTGGCGTATATATCAATGTAAAAAGACTGCTAAGCTTGTCAATAAAGCCCTCCGTACAGATCACTTACAATGAAAAAGCCTGCAACTCACTTCCATAATATTATTATGAAAATCAGCAAATAGTAATGCACCCCCATAGGCGAGAGGGGGAATTAGACATTAAGATTAACTTGGAAATTCAACAGAAGCATTAGCCTGTAATAGTCAGTTGCAAAGCACTAAGAAAATTTAGAAAACGAGTGAAGATTTCACTTTCTTTTTGTGTAACGTTAAACTGAAAACCAGACAGTGGGATATAGGGGGATTGCAAGTACTGCAGAAACACGGAACCTGGAATTTGCTAGCTAAGATTTTCCTTTCCTATAACATATTATAAACAATACCCTTTTTAATAAATAAACAAACATAAAATAAGGCAAACCAAATACTTTTTCTTTCCAGCAGACATAAGACTTCTTGAGACTGTCAGAAGACAGGTGCTGCCTCTAACAAGTTTCGCGTTTCAGGCACTTCTACCCCTGTGGTTGCTGAAGAGCAACCAAACGTGATCACCGCAGCAGGAACACAGCTCTATCATCTCAAAATGAGCACAATACTGAAATATATTTTGCAGTAAAACTACGAGCAATCACTCAGTGAGTGATGCCAAACTCTTTTACAGTAAACACCTGTCTAACAACACTTTCCCCACAGAAGCAGTTCACTGACACCAGCTGCCCTGAGGTGACAACCGTGGGGACAGTGAAGACAGGCATGGCACTACCCAGCACCAGACCACAACATCGATTACAGTACATTACCTTTGCACTAAAGCTCAGCAACTGCAGCGAGCACAGGCACTACAGCACGCTTATCAATTCTTTCTAAATCAGAGTGGAAAGCTGCAGGTTATAGTTACTTCTGCCAAGAAAATGCTCTCAGTGCCAGGCCAAAAGGCACCCAAGCAAGCAGACAGCTACGGCAGAGATTTGTCTCGCTCCTTCCAGCTTCACAGCGCCGATCCAAGTAACTTCGGGCCCTAAAGAGAGGTCAGCACTTAACAACTCCAGCCCGCTCTCCAACGCGACGTCCTCACGCCCCGCGCCTTCCCTGGACTACTGTGCGAGCTGAGGAAGAAGCCGATCTCCCCCCTGCCCAGCGGAGGATGCAGACCGAGACACAACGCCCTACGGGCTCCCACGCGGGCAGCTGCCTAACGCGGCCCTGGCCGCCGAGCCCGCCT